AAGACTTGCAGTTGTAGGTGGTTTGAAATTGTACAAAAAGGCAGCTCTAAAAAGTTTTGACTCTGGGGCTGGATACTCATACATCTTCCATGTTACAGATTATGTTTATGAAAAGACGGCATTGAAAACCACCTTCAGTTTTTCCTCTAGTTTCAAATATTTACACTATCTTGTAGGTGGTAAATCACATAAACTACCAAAAAAATATATCAAAGTTTTTGGCTGTGACAAAATGTGAATATATTTATGGGGTACAAATACTTTAGCAAGGTCCTTGTACTTTTTTGAAGCTGTTGCTGTAGACAAGTCATGTGTTCAAAACTAAGAAGAATCATTTAGGGTGAGTTGTGAAAAGAGATTGCTCATTCTCTGCTGCAAGTAGCTGCCACTTTTACTCAGGCAGAGGTCATAGCTCAGCTCAACCATCGAAGGATAAGGTAACTTGGGAGGAGGCGTATGATTTGTTCATCCTCGCAGCAGAAAGACAGATCATCACATTTCTGTGAAGCAGCTAAATAGACACCCTGTGGTCACAATAACATAATCCTCCCCTTTTCTTCCTGCAGCTGATGGTGCTTACTTGAGCAGATTTATAAGGTATTTAGTATTAAGCTTGGTATATTTTCTTCCTCCCTGATCTTAGAACTGCTTTCGTTTGCATTTAGCCTTAAAACAAAATTATTTGGAAATTTTATATTATGCTCTGTTAATGCTCCAGTATTTATGAAATTAAATAATTGATTTAATCCAAAATGAAGGCAAAAAAAAAAAAAAAGCTAGGACAGCATAACGGATTTATATTTAGGCAAAACTAGGTGATTGCCTAGAACCCCAAGTGCCAGGGGGCCCAATAAAACTCCTTTTATATGTATGGTTAATACAAGTATTACTTATTTGTGCACATTAATTATGTTTTTGATAAAAATCTTTTCGCTAAAATGCCATCAGAATGCTTATGATATTAAGTGTGTCTAACCCTAACCCTTTGCCTAGGGCCCAAAAATATTCTAAATCCGGCCCTGTGTGAAGTCCATCCTGGATAAAACACAATTAGATGCTTCAGTGGTGCCAAATATAAACATGACTCTCTTACAGCCTGTCTTTAGAGTGCAGTCTTTTTCTTTGATTAAACCTGATGCTTGAGGTACACGTAATGGGGTTGCCGAGCAATGAGCATGACAGGAGGTGCTGAAGTAAATTAACAATTAGATGGTAAATAACAATTAATTAAGACGAATAGCCTTTTCTATTTAACCTATACTCTTTCAGGGCTCTTATACTTATCATCAATTAGGTCTAAGACTTCAATGAATTAGTATATCACTGAGTAATTATTTAGCAATTTGAGATAATGGTAATATTTTAGAACATTATTATTCACTGGTGTTTATCAGAATTTAAAGTACAGTGATTAGAAAAAAAAGACAAAAAAAAAACTACAAGAGCCATTAAAAGTCAAGACAAAATGCCAACCTAATTATAAACAATTTATGACATAAATTAGGATTAAATAGGCTTTAATTAATGAAATTGTGGTAGATATGCCCTTTGTAGTTAATTAGTGAAAAAATGAAAATAAAAGAGAAAATTATAAAGTAATTAAAGAAAATAACTGGCATGTTTGATTTTTTTGGAATGATTACTGTTAAACTCCTGAATATGTATTCATATTGAAATTGCTTGAATAGTCAAACTGTTTAACCTTAATTTAATCTAATAAAATAATATGTAGAACTATATGAACAATACAGTTTTCAAATCAGGTAACACTTATATACTAATTATTAGCAGGAAGTTGGGCAATCCTAAAATAACACTCTTAACATTAATGTTGTAGATTCAGTAAAAATAAAAATGAGCTTTTACTCATTACTCATGTGTATGCAAGAGCTGGAATTAGCACTGTAGCATGGCTGCAGTCTACAACAAGTTACTCTGTACAAATTTGATTAGTAACAGGGTAAACCCTTATATGATGCAGCACAGAAAAGGCATTACGAAGAGCATTCTATCCTTTAAAACAACTGCTCTTACGATGATCTATATGAATCTAAATATTTTTTTTTAGAAGAAAATATAAACATTTTGGCAAATTCAACTTCTATTGGTGGTATGGAATAGAGGTGTCAAAACTACTAATGTTTATTATTCAGGTAGAAGTATACATTGTATTGATTAAAAACACTTTTGTAGAAGTTAGATTACCAACTTAAGCTTTTTATTCAAGTAAACATGTGAAAGTACCATTTTTAAAATTACTTAAAATATAAAAGTAAAACTAATGCAGGAAAAGAAAATTGAAATGCTTTATTGAACTAGGCAACTAAAGGAACATTTTTTCTACAATTCTGGATGATACCTTCCTTATAATATACTTATTCTTATACTTCCTTATAACTAATGGTAACAGTGTCAAATTTACCTTTGCATCATCTTGAAACACTATTCATTTTGGTAGATGGAGAACAACAAGTTGGTGCAGTACTGAGTCCAACCACAAAGAAATTGTCTGGATGAAACTAATTATTTTGACGGTTTTGATGTTTTTTAAACATCAACAGGCCATAATGAAAATTAGCCTTAATGAAACGAAAATAAAGTCTATTTTTAAAATATAAGGAGTAGAAAGTTAAGATAAATGCAAATAAATGTAAGGCGTAGAAGTGAAAAGTTGTCTAAAAAAGAATTATTCCAGCAAAGTATAGAAAGTAGAAATGTATACTTAATTAAGGCAAGTATTTGTACTTTGTTACTTGAAATCTGTAATATGGACGATGCTAGTATGGATGGGCCCAGGGGGAAGATTACTCTAATCATCTTCTTAAGTTATTCAAACAGGCTCATGATGACTTACAGCATAATGTCTCCTGCCGGTGTCCGAGCGCAAAAAGAACTTATTTACATTCATGTCAATAAAATCTTTCTAATTGCTTCTTTTCTTTGCAGGAGTTTCTCCAGGTTGAATTAAAATGAGGTTTTTATTTAATAAAGAAAAAACCATATTCATGCAAACCTGTCCATATGTAACAGGGTAACTGTAACCTGACTCTAAAATAACTTATTCTGGAAGCTGGGTTAGTTTTATGCAAAATTTAAAACATGCATATCTTCCAAAATTTTTCACTTTTGTCTTGTCAGCCCAGTGAGTATTTTTCCAAAGGTCTGGTGGATCAGCACAATGGTTTTGACAATTAAACATTTTTGTTTGATCTTTTCAGGGACAGGTTTTCCTTGAGTGTCGGCTGTTTAAATAATTATTTCCCATTCTCTTTCCTTTTGTTTAGCGACATCATATATTTCCATCAGTGATTTTATATGCGCAATTTGAAGGGTCGTAAGTTGATAGAAATATCAATATTTTAATCAAGCTACAAAATTTTCCAAAAAAGTCTTTATGCTCACTTGACATGGTTTCAAACGAACAGTAAATATGCCATAGATGGGATGGAAACACAATCATTAAATAAACTCTGCAAGCATTCAGAAGTAAAGCATTAGAATTTCACATCTCTCTCAACATCTCTGGTCAGCATGCACCATCACTAATACTTGCCGACATGATAAAGTAGATCTTGGCCAATTGCAATGCATTCATTAATCATTGATCTGTTATACTGTCACAGCTAAATGTAAAACAACTTTATATAACGAAACCATGTATAATGCAAAGCTTCATTCCATTTGATGGAAAAAAGGAACCTGAAATTTTTTTTCCAGTTTGCTTAACATTTGGATGCAAACATGGCGATTGACTAAGGCAACTGAGGCTTGTGTTACTTCAAAGGACCACAAGTGATGCCACAAACCGGTGGGTGGCAGTAGTGCTCACTAGTGCTCTTTGACAAACATGGTGGTCTCCAGTAAAGCCCATTCAAATAACAATTACTCTTAATTAAAAACACTTATAATTTATTGAAAAGTATGTAATAATTTAATTCTTAAATTACTTTCAGAAGTTTTCAGTTTCAGTTTTCAGAACCTTTTTGATCTCCTAGATTATTAAATTATGCCTTTTTGGAGTAATTATGTATTCCTGGTGACTCCTTTCTACATGCACCAGTGTTTGCACTTTCAGCAACCCTAAAAAGAAACCCTAAAGCATTGTACATGGCTTTCCGACAGAGTGATGCCTTTTTTAATTAGCTGGCTTTATATGCTAAGCAGCCTCCATGTTAATTGTGTGGGGTTTTTTTTTCTTTTACAGGTTCAGGCAGTAACCAGGTTTGGGTAAAGCCGGGCATACACTGTATGATAATTTCAATTGTTATACTCAGCTACAGTTTAAACTGCACGACGAAACTGCAGGGTTTAAAAGTTCACAGATCCCGTGTATGTTCTCACAATGTACGGCAAGACGTTCTGATGCAATCTACATGCTCACACTGCACATCCAAAAACAAAACGTTGTTCTCAGCACCAAGAGCTGATGCCAGTTGGACTCATCAATCTGGAAGAAGAACTCCATTGTTTGCACATGCATACTGCTAGAAGTTCTGGTAAATTGGCTCGTAGATGCTTGTAGCTCTGCTTCAACAGCAGGATTTAACCACCCACACCTCACGAGGGTGGACTGAATTTCAAAAATGTTTTATTTTATTCTGATCGTACGATTCTTGATCAGGAGTCCAACCGAAAAAATTCTTGCACGACTGGAGAATCGCCCCAAAAAGGGAAAAAAGTTGTACAGTGTATGCCCAGCCTTAAGGCTTCTGAAAGTAAGGCAAAAAAAATAATGTAATCAGTTAAATAATTATAAAAAAAAAAAACATTTTGTTCTAGTGGTTTGGACAACATGGACATCATCATTTATAATCTGCATCTTGTTTCCATTTAGAATAAGTTTTGTTGATATTATAGTAGGTTAGATGATCCAAAATATTTACACCTAGTTTAGTAAGGGTTTAAATACTTTTTTTTAGGATATTATAGGGATGTGGAGAACTAAAAAAACATTACTTCTTATGTTCTTTGTTAGCCAATTTATAAGTTCAGGTACCAACCTCCAGGTATACGGCCCAGGGCATGACCAGCGAGGCAACCAGCAGGTCAGCCACAGCCAGGCTGACCACCAGGTAGTTTGTTGTGGTCTGGAGAGAGCGCTCCCTCAGCACAGCCAGGCACACCAACACGTTCCCAAACACAATGGCCAAGATGAGCAGGGAGTACAGCATGGCGTAGTAGTTGCGCTCATCCTCCCCCAAAGAGTCCGAGCTCTCATTCTTCTCATCCCAGCCAGGTCGGTCCGACTCGTTCCAGAGTCGCTCTGCACTGCTAAACATTGCCATGGCTTTTCCCCAGTTACATGGGAGGTGAGATACTTGGCAAACCTACCAAAACAAGAAAAGGAGCATTGTTTAGCGCTCGTCTGATAGTCACAGTACATCCTCTCCTTTGGATTCCCATGCAAACATGGAAAATATATTTCTAACAGCTCATTAGTCAGATAAGTGCAGCATAATTGTCCTCTGATGATGGGAGCACAATTTCACAACAAAGCTCCGTCTGGGAAAACTGCCTCTTAGCAACAGAAAAACAGATGAACTGATAAAAGAAACGTAATGGTTGAAATCCCAGCTGAAATCCTATTTTCTGCGCATCACTCCTGTTTCCATGCGACACTGTCTTTAGTTTTCCTATTAAATGAGAAGCAGAGGTAATACTGTCATCCTTATTGCTTCCAGTAGGCTCGGTTAACTAAATAAAGACGATGCAGAAATTAATGCTTGAAACAGCGAAAGACATTTATTTAGTTTGGTACAACTATTAAAATGATATGTTAGCTTTGATGAGGGCTGTAGTTGCATGCTTTTGAGCAGAGTCAGTAAGGTTAACACATCACAAGTGCAAGCTACCATTCCTGAGATGTCCAGTTGGCTGTAGTCCCATTTTCTGCTCCTTGCACTTCATCTTCCCTCTCATTTGTCTCCAAACCCCCCAGCCTGGCCTGAAGCCAAACATCAGAGTGGTAGTCATGCTCACACCTGTGCCTACAGAAGCAGATATAACAAAAATCTGCAAACCCTGTTAGATGTATATATATATATATATATATATATATATATATATATATATATATATATATATATATATATATATATCAATTCAGCTCTTTCTTCACCTTTAATCTGGTATTTATCGTTTACATTTTAACTTCAGAAGTAAATCTGTCTTGGCGGGAATGCAAAGAATAAAGGCTACATTAACCTGGTTACATTTCAATCTGAAAAACTCACACGGAGAGAAAAGACAATTTTGAGAAATTCATTACTTTGTCTTTGGCACCCAGACCTCGTCAGGAAACATAGAGCTTAACTTTAAAAGATATGCATGAACAGGAGCAAAGAATAGGGCTGTTTCCCCCCCAGGCCTGAAACTGGTGGTGGAGTGGAGATAGATGAGGATGGTCAGTCTGTAGACTGCTGGTTAGAGAGACGGTATGCTGAGCTTTATGGGGAGATCCAGTGGACCGCGTGAGCTGATACTAGAGCTTCACTCACGGACCTGGAAGATGGAAGTCCAGTTGGATAACACAGGTTGAGAGAACATGTCCGTGATGAGCAAGCATGGAGCGACAGTGGAGAGGAAAAACTCCCCACTGGGAAGAAGCCTCTGGCAGAACCAGGCTAAACATGGCAGTCTTCTGCCAGACCAGTTGAAATGAGATGCGGAACGCAGTAAGAGTCTGGGAGGAATGACACTCTGATGAAGTTTAGCTGCAATGGTTGAGGAGGGGCTGGAGGTGGGTTGAAACGGGGTCATCTGAATGAAGTCACACAGCGCATCCACCGCCTGAGCAGTAGGTAGCAGACGATGTGGATTGGAGGCCTTTTAAGATGAACTTTGGTTGCTGATTGGCTTTCGTGGAGGTGTGGTTCAAAGCTGATTGGCTGTGTTATAGGCAGATGAAGGCGAGTTTATTCAGTTGAACTTCCACCTAGGCTCCATAAGTATGCACACCTTCAAATTTAGCATAATTTCATTCATTTTCAGCAATGAATCTCCTTTGGTCTGTCAGCTCCCCATGTCTTGACTTCTCAATATTTTCTCACTCTTCCTAGAAAAAGTTCTCCAAGTCCATCAGCTTTGATTTTGTCTTTTCTTCAGCTTTCCTCACGCAGTCCCACAAATGTTCTATAAGACTTCGATCTGAAAGGCAGACCAACGTTCCTAAACTTTAAATGTCCTCTATTTTAACTCATTCTATGGATGATCTGGATAAAATGTTTGGACTTTGAAGAGTGGGAAATTAATTATTTTTTTTATGTCTGGTTTCTTCAAGACTGACATTTATAACTGTACTATACTTTAACTGCCTTGAAAATAAGTTAAGTTCTGTTTATATAAGCCCAGAGCAACATGCTGCTACCCCTATGTTCCACTGATGGTATTGGTTATTGTTTTGGTGATGCTCCCTCACAAAATTACTTTTTTAAATTGTTACAAAATTATCCGTTTGGTTTCATTAGACCATAATACATTCTCATTGAAGATTTGGAGATTTCTGTCACACAAAGAACACAACCAGCACTATCTGGAAATTTCTAACTCCTTTTGCCACAGTATTGGATCTATCTACATACAGTATATGTTGCCATGGATTTTCTCTGCCTTTCTCCTGACTGACACCTTTGTCCATAATATCACTTTGATCTAAATTATGGGTTTAGCTAGTCAAATAGTTAATGTAAAAAAAAAAAAACTAAATGGATTATATTTGGAACTAATTATGTTCTTATGTTCGAAACAGATATTAACACATATGTTTTTTCAAAAATAACCTTGCAAACAAATCATATATTTTATATTCAGTTTTCCCTTTTAGTCATTTTAGTTTAATTATAAATTATAAATGTCACATAAAAAGCAGAAAGGGTTCTGAAATAATTTGCCATAGTCTCACTTTCTTACATAAAAATGTCTAGTTTATGTATAGGAGCTCAAGAAGATCCATCTTATTCTGCTCCTCTCTCCCTCAAGAGCAGAAATGTAAGAATTTAGCCAAAAAGGCTGCGGGTTGGTTTTAGACCTGGCTTGCACTCAAGTTTCTAAAGATTTTCCCCGGTTTATTATTCCAGCCAGTTCCTGAATGGACCCAGTATCACATTAATGGAGAAACTGAAGAAGCAGAGGAAGTCAAGGCACTGAGACAGAAAAGCAAGAAGTGCAGGGGTAAATTTTAAGCCAAAAAATATTTTCGGAAGCTGCATAACATTGCAATCATAAATTATTTCAGGGAACTGGAAAGTATGCAAATCCATGAATAAAAATAAATTTTTAATATGAGCGCAGTCAAGGGTTTATTTATACTCTGAAATTAGACTCATTTTTACCCTTTTGCTTCAGGAAACAATCTGCTGTGCATCCCATGACCTTTTAGTGCATAGTTAATGTACTCTGAAATCTGCCAGGGCGTTTTTAAAGGATGGGAGCCCTTTAAAGGACGCATAGCAAGAATGATTTATAGGCAATCAAGACTGACACAATCCGGTTGTTTTTCTGCTTCTTTGATTTATATGAAATTCATCAAATATTAACAATCGTAAAATCTTTAAATGAGCCCAAATTTCATAAACTTTTGAGAATAGAGCGTCTAATAGAGACTTCTGAAAAAAAGGCAGATGTTAAATAAAGTCCATGACTATTATACAAGTGATCAAAATAGCTACTAAAGCCAGTTTAAGACGCAAAAAAAGCTCGGAATGAAGCTTACCTATAACATTTATAGTCCTTAATGGTGCTGTATTCGGAGCGCGCCCCCCTCTTTAAACGCAAAGTGGACACATGTCACCGTTTCCCAGTGGAGAATTCACCAGATGCCATCATGGAGCCGCTTAGTCCGAGCTGACATGAAACTTATCCGGTGACAGCCTCCAGCTCCAGCTGTTGGAGCGCTCCGTGCCATTGCGCGCAGGGTGGGTGAGCTATACAGTTACTGCAAGCAGCTCTGTGACAAACCAAGCTGGTTACTTCATCTCCACCGAAATGTCATCGCTCCAGAGGAGGCTGCTCACATGCGTTCTGCGCTTTTGCGCTCTGGTGTTTTTTGCAGGTGCGTAAAAGGAGCAGGCACGGGATTGGGTAAATAATACATACAGGCAAATAAATAGTTTTTCCTTTAAAAACCAATAACATGTACGTTGTCTGGTCCCAGGTTGGAGGCGATGGTGACCCTGCCTGGGTCGGTCTTTGCTGGAAGGGTCGTTTAAACTAAAATAGCTTGTTTTATCTTCCTGTATTTTAATCATGTAAAGCACTTTGCATTGTCTTTGTACTGAATTGTGCTATACAAATAAATTTGCCTTGCCTTGCCTTGCCTTGCCTAACGTTGGCCTCTTTAAACGAGCAATTGAGACAGAATGAGATAAATGAGGGCAGTCTGAGGAAATGTTTGAGAATGCCACACCTTTTTTTCACTAGGGGCATCTGCAAAAAGGTTTTCTAAGGGGTTGCCATGGTGGAGTAATGATGTTGGGTTGGGGCACCAGCATGGGCGGTTCTAGATAGGGGCCAACGGGGCCAGTGCCACTGTAGATCATGTCCTGGCCCCTTTACTGAAGACATAATACTTAAAAGAAATTCTAATGATGATATGTGCTGGAACAGACATGGTAACAGAGAGGTCCTTTGGATCTATTTCATTTTTTTTTTCTTTTCAAATTATGGTTTATTAATTATTTAAAATCAATAAGGCGATAGCTTCAATGGTATTGAGATAGGATCCCAGTTTTTATCTGTTAAATGTTTTTTTTTTCAAAACAAATTTGAAAAAGTACTCAAATTTTTACAGCTGAATTTATCAGTTTTTCTCGAGTTCTAATTCAGATGTTTTTAAAAATGGTCATTTTAACTTAAATTAAGTGAAAAATATGTAAAATTCCAAAATTATTCATGTATGTTGACCTCCTTTTCAAATTATGGTTTACTAATTATAAAAAAAAAAAGGCATTGCTTCAATGGTATTGAGATAGGATCCCAGTTTATATCTGCAAATTTTTTTTTTTGCTAAATAAATTTGAAAAATACTCTAATTTTCCGAGCTTAATTTATCAGTTTTTCTTGAGTTCTAATTCAGTTTTTATAGAAAATGGTCATTTTAACTTAAATTTAGTGAAAAATATGCAAAATTCCTAAATTATAAATGTATATTGACCTCCTTTTCAAATTATGGTTTACTAATTATTTTTTAAAAAATCCGGCAAAAGCTTCAATGGCATTGAGATAGGATCCCAGTTTTCATCTGCTAAATGTTTTTTTTTTTTCAAAACAAATTTGGAAAAAATACTCTAATTTTTACAGCTGAATTTATCTATTTTTTTTTAGTTCTAATTCAGATTTTATAGAAACTTAATTAACTTAAAGTTGTTGACCTTATTGGAAATAGAATTTTTACTAAACCTAATTGAATAGAAATTTCACTTCATGCAGCTCTCTTAATACATTTGTATCCCTTGCCCTGTTTTTTATTCCATGCTTTTCTGTGCCCCCATGAAGACACCCTGGCCCCGTCCTGCCCCCCTGGTACATTTGATCTAGAACCGCCACTGGGCACCAGTACTTTTAGCAAAGGAAATTGAGAGGTTCATATAATTCATCAATTCACTTCACTGAGAGAAAAACATTATTATCCTTGCAAGAATAATGCACAGACAGGTGTTTTCATATATTTTGGCTAATTATGATTTCCACCATTATACCAACAGAAAAGCATTTTTAAAACAGATATTTGGTGTCAAAAAGACATGTATAATAGGCCGCCTCCTTTTTTTATTGTCAAAAGTACTCTTAATCTCAAAAGTGACCCTATTTTTAAAACCCATATTTTAAGCTATTCGATAGGAATATACATTTATAAAATAGCTAAAAGACAAAGAAGTAAGAGTTGCTTTGGTAACTATGAAGCAGTAATGATATAGAGGTGGGTTCGGGTTAAGGTTAGGGTTAGCAGTAACAGAACTTCTGAAACTTTTAATAGGTATCTCACCAGGACAGAACTCAAAATTCATGTCTGATTGAAAATGCAAAAGCAATTTTAACCTTTGTGAGATTGTCTTTTAACGATCTATATAGGATTTTTAGCCAGATGATGTATCAGTCTACTCCTACTTAATACCCTTTATGTTTATTTTAATAAAATATCTGGGTAATTGGATATGTAAGTACATTATTATTCCAAATTAAAACACTGATTAATAATAGTTATTATCTAAGTGCCATCGAGTAATTATTTAATAAATAGTCATTTATTAATATATCTTATATGATGGGCATTTAATGTATACATGTCTTGATGCCAAAAAGAGCCCAACAGACGTTTCTTTAACAAGTGGAGAAGTAATGCTATCACCATAGTGTTCCGCTTGATTTATGCATATAAATTGCTTTATAATAATTATGCAGAGAGTTTTACAGATTATATGGACACTGCAATGTAAGTAGAACAGGAAAAGAAAACATAAAAAAAGGAGGAAAGATGAAAGAAAGAGGAAATAAAAGGGAGATAACGATGAAATATTTGCTTCATCACCTGCAAAGAGACGTAAAAAGAACAGCACATCTAACAGACATGTTACAAGACATACAATAAAGTAACACCTAGATACTATCACTGAAGTATAAGTAGTATTATTTAATCTGACACGTATACTGTGGTAGCTGAAACTAAGAATATTGGCTTTCTGTATGGAAGGGTTTCTTTTCTTAACAATGATATTATTATGTATCCGATTAATCATGTGTGTTTGTGCTCAGTTTTAATCACTAACACAAATTGAAGTAATAGTTGTATTGTTTATTTATTATTTCATTTTTAATAAACTGAGGTATACTTCTATACTCGAGAAGTCTGTTTCCTGAGAAGACAACCATGGAACCGAATAAAAGTGTAACTAGAAAGGGTTATTTCCCTTTTAAATATCAAGTTTCTGCTTGCACGATTTTTATTTAATTTTTTTGAGTGCGTAATCTGGAAAGCAATGGCTTCATATTTCCAGGTATCTTCAAAACAGACAAAGTCAGGGAGTGAAATTCATTACAAAGCATCAGTGAAGTGCATTTTTTAAATGCAATGAGCAGCAGGAAGTTGATGGACTGTAACCACAGTGGCAACCACAATCAGCAGATCATTTTTCACTCCAAGCACACAGCATGTTGTGATTTAACTAATGTATAACTGTCCAAACGTCCTTGGTGCTCAAAGGAAACATGACCTATCCATCTGCTAGTCAACAACATGCTGGATCATTTCTGATATGCTTTGTGGTGAGCTGGAAGAATCCCAATGAGAGGTAATGTGGATGTTAGAGCGAGTTGTTTGACTCCAATAAGCTTAAGTTGGATTTACCACTGGAAACCAATGCCTTTCTGATACGCCACATTCAGTAGATCTCAGTCTCTCAGTGGCATTCAGTAGAAGTGTGTAATTAATAAGACTGTTTTTTCCTTCATTAAGTGGGCATCCACACCTCTCCTACATTATCGTGGAAGGATGTGCTTGGAAAGGGCAGGGACAAGGAGAGTAAGGTAATGTATGTCCACCTGAATGAGGGACCTTGTGAAGATTAGACCCTTGATGGCTCCTCACAGAGCTGTTACTGTCAGGATCTATATCTGTCTTGACAGATGGTGGTGTGAAGGTCAGGACTGAGAGATCAGCGCTGCAAAAATAATAGAAGACTGGAATTAAGAGAAAAAATGATTTTTTTCTGTTTAACTCTGTCTTGCTTTTTGCTGCCATCTACTGGTTGATATACTTCATTTTTCATCTGTGTGTCAAACATTCTAACCATGGCCACGGACAAACAAAACATTTTATTACTAGCTTTACTACTTCACTATTGTTTTTATGGTATACTTAAGTTTAATAATGATTTAAGAAGTTTTTATTAATAGCACAATAAGGTTTTCATTAATGTAAAACTATGCGATTGGGTGTAAAGAGTTTGCTGGCTGCAATGCTGATCTGTAAATGTACTGATCTGGTTTATACATTAATATTCTCTGGTTGCTTTATATATATATTTATATTACATTTGATTCTTCAGATGTCAAAAAACTAATTTGTACTTTATCTCAGAAAATACAATTATATATGTACTGTAAAACCTATTCCCATTAATCAGTCAGTCAGTCTTCCTTCATATGTTTTTGTAAAAGTTGTGTTTTGCCTTACTTTGGGCAAAGCATGTGTAGGGGCCACCAACCCTCAATGAAGTGGTTCAGAATTTGACCTTTGATATCAAGACCCCTGCTGCATATCTTTTACCATTCTTCCTGTACATTTTCTACCCGAACACTGCAAATGCAATTTGCAAATGACACAAAAAACCTGAAAATACAAACCTGACCATTTTTACCCCACAGAGCTCAAAGTAAACTAGACACAATTTGCAATGCAAACAGAGCAAGAGGGCATCTTTTACTATATGATGAGCCACAAAGCCAAAGTTGCAGGCACCTGACCTAACAGAAGAAACCGTGATCCGATCTTTGTAGAACTGAAGCTTTAATCTATCTGGAATTTCTAAATAATTGTCAAAGGAATTGTAAAGGCATAATATGAAATTGGTCAAAAGTACAAATCAGTTATGTTCTCCTCTGTCAGTGCATGTCTTTACGAAAAATTTATTTAGTATTACACACCAAAGAATGATCTAAAAAAATTAGTTAAAATAATAATAATTACACTTTATTTGAGCAGGTAGTTATGATGATCTGACAACGGACTGAGTATTTGTACTTTTAAAAATTAGATAAGGTTTGAATTTTAAAATAAGTTAATGGAGTTTTTTTTTCTTATTTTAAAAGTTTTAGCCATGGGTAACTTGTTTGACCTGCCTGCTCTAATTAAGGGAAAATACACCCATTTCAAGAACATTTGGACATTTAATTTTCAGGACAGAGGCCAGGTAGAGTTCTGTGGGGCACTGGCCCCTAATGCCCCTGTCTAGAACCGCCCATGCATTCACAGAAAAAAAAATCTATTAAGCCTAAAAAGATCATTTTGAACTTGATTGGCTGTGATGTGCAGGTTGGAAACCAAAGTGGTGGATGAAGTTTTCATCTGTAGTAC